GGGGGGGGCCCAGGAAGTGACGTCAGAGCCCCGGAGCGGCGGGGATGGGGGATGAAGGATGGAGGATGAGCGTTGTCATGGAGACTCCCGGCTGGACCGGGATGGGGGGGCAGGAATGGGGAGCAGGGACGCGGTGGGGGGGGGCTGGTGGCTCCTGCCGGGGGGGGGGGGGGGGGGGCCCCCCCCCCAGGGGCCTGGTGAGGAGCTGCTGGAGCTGGGAGAGCTGGAGCCTGGCCCAGGCCTGGGGGGATGTGGGGGATACCAGGGCCTGGGCAGCCTGGCTGAGACCCCCAGGGCCTCATGTTGGGGTCTGGGGACCCCAGGGCTCCTCAGCGTGGCACGGGGCACCTCCAGACCCCACTGCCATGACATGGGGACCCAATGGATCTCCTTGCCATGGCATGGGGCATCTAAAGACCCCATTGTCACGACACGGAGACCCTCTGGATCTCCACCAGGACGCCTGCAGCCCGCACGGCTGTGCCATGAGGCACCTCCAGAGCTCAGTGCCAGGATGGCACACCCTCCACCTGCTGCCACGGGGATCCCCCTGCAGCTGTGACCCACAGACCCCACAGACGGAGCGATGCCCCCCGGGCAAACACCTGCCCCGTCCCGCCCTGTCCTGGCTCGGTGGCTCGGTGTCCTCGGCGTCGCTGTGCCCCGAGCACGAGCGGCCGGGCGGAAGGGGAAGCCATCACCGCCCGCGCACGGCCGGGAGGAAGGGGGCCTTTGTTCGCCCTTCCTGGCCACTTGCACAGCGGGGAGCAGCGGCCGCCCCTCGGGGTCCCTGGGGACGCGGGGACAGGGGGGTCACCGAGCCACAGCCCAGCGCGACGCCCTCTTCCCGCTGCCGGGAGCGGGAGCCAACAGCTGGAAAAGCGCTTTGCTAAACCCTGACGTGTGCCAGGGCTGGAGGTGGCGCGGGGCGCGTGTCCCCTCCCGGCTGTGACGCCCGTCCTCCCTCCAGGTTCTCGGTGAAGACGCTTCTGGAGAAGTACACGGCGGATCCCATCGACGACTCCTCCGAGGAGTTCGTTAACTTCGCTGCCATCCTCGAGCAGATCCTCAGCCACCGCTTCAAAGGTACGGGTGGCCCCCAGGACTGTCCCTGTCCCCATCCCCTGTCCCCTGGCGGATGGGGACGCACATGCTGGCGCCAGGAAGGGTGTCCAGCTCTGCTGGAGGGGCTTTGCTGGCGCAGCAGCCCCTGAGCAGCCCGTGGGCGCCCGCAGGCCCTGTCAGCTGGTTCAGCTCCGATGGACAGCGCGGGTTTTGGGATTACATCCGCCTGGCCTGCAGCAAGGTCCCCAACAACTGCGTCAGCAGCATCGAGAACATGGAGAACATCAGCACCTCCAGGGCCAAGGTCAGGAAGGCACCAGTCCTCTCCCTGTCCCTGTCCCTGTCCCCATCCCCATTTCTATGCCTGCTCCTGTTTCCATTCAATCCACCCTGACCCTGGTACATGGATCCATCTACATTCCCATCTCACCCCATCCCCATCCCCATCCCCATCCTCATCCCCATCCCCACCCCTCTGTGTCCCCGCCTTGCTCCCTTCCCCTGCCCTCCCACAGCTCCATCCCACACCACAGGGCCCCTTGGGACACAACAGCAGCTGTGGGTCCCCATGGTACCGAAAAACGGGCTGAAAGCCACTCCTGTATGGGGATCAGAGTGCTGGGGGTGGGTGGGATGTGGGGACCCCCCCGAGGCAGCCCCCACCCTCAGGACTGCCTCGCAGGGCCGGGCCTGGATCCGTGTGGCGCTGATGGAGAAGCGAATGTCCGAGTACATCTCCACAGCCCTGCGGGACACTCGGACCACCAGGTGAGCAACCCCGGCCCTGCTGGCCATGGCCACACCTGCACCAGGGCGTGTGGGGGTGCTGGGGTGGGTTTCGGGGTGCCAGGGTGGGTTTTGGGGTGCTGGGGGGGCACATCCAGCCGCGTGCTCCCCGCAGGCGGTTTTACGATGACGGGGCCATCATGCTGCGGGAGGAGTCCACGGTGCTCACGGGGATGCTCATCGGGCTCAGCGCCATCGACTTCAGGTAGGGACAGGTGACACAGAGGGACACAGGCCCTGGCTGACAGCCTGGGGGTTCCCTCACCTTCTTCTCCCACTGCCTCTGCTCAGCTTCTGCCTGAAGGGAGAGGTGATGGACGGTAAAACGCCCGTGGTCATTGACTACACGCCCTACCTGAAGTTCACGCAGAGGTAGGAGCTGGGGTGCCCTTCCTGGGGTGGGGACCCTCCTGTCTCTCCCCCAGCACCACGATGGGGCTCCCTGAACCCCTGACAGCCCCTGCTGAGCCCCCACACCCCCCAGCTATGACTACCTGAGTGAGGAGGAGGAGCGGGGCAGTGTGGAGAGCAGCACGAGCGAGGACAGCTCACCTGAACACCCCTACCTGCCCCTGGTCACCGACGAGGACAGCTGGTACAACAAGTGGCGCAAGATGGAGCAGAAATTCCGCATTGTTTACGCCCAAAAGGTACCAGACTGGGGCCATCAGGGTATCAACTTCCCCAGGATGCTGCAGCCTGGAGCATCTCTGCCTCAGTGGCACCCTCAGCCCTTCATCCTGCTGCTGCGGTGACCCAGCCCGCTTCCTGTCACTCCAGAGGGCCCTGGGGACACTGGGGGTGGTGGCAGCGGGGCACCACTGATGGTGGCCTCACTCAGGGGTACCTGGAGGAGCTGGTGCGGCTGCGGGAGTCGCAGCTGAAGGACCTGGAGGCGGAGAACAAGCGGCTGAAGCTCCGGCTGGAGGAGGTGATGGTGCAGAACCAGCTGGAGAAGAGAGAGCTGGAGGGCGTCATCCTGGAGCTGCAGGAGCAGCTGTGAGTGGGGACCCACTGCCACTGCCAGGGGGCTCGGGGGGCTGGGGGTCCCTGGAGCCAGGCTGCCCCACAGGCCCTGGGTGTCCCCACACGTCCCGTGTCACCTGGCAGGTCCCCAGCAGTGGTGGCTGTGCCAGGTGCTGAGCACCTGCCTTTGCTGCAGGACGGGGCTGATCCCCTGCGAGAACCCACAGCTGGCCCAGCTCTCCAAGGAGATGGTGACACCCCTGGTCAACCAGTGGCCCTCCCTGGGGACCCTCAATGGCAACGAGAGCGGCTCGGACAGCAAACTCTACAGAAGGCAAGCTCACAGTGGGGGCAGAGAGCTGCCGGAGCACCCTGTCCTACCCCGGGGGGGACACGGGGTGTGGGAGGGGTACAAGAGCTGTGCCAGCCCCGGGGGGCTCAGAGCTGTCCCTCTGCAGGCACAGCTTCGTGAGCACCGACCAGCTCTCGGCCGAGAACAGCCTCAGCTCCGACTCCCAGCGCCTGGGCGAGGGCAAGCGCGAAGGGGAGCCCTGGGGGCCCTTGGGTAAGACCCCCACCCACCATAGGGCGCCCTCGGGGCTCAGCACATCTCACCCGCGTGTCAGGACCCACCAGCAGCCCCCTCCTCATGGTTGGGATGCTGCCCCAGCAGTGCAGGGACACCCAGGTGGCCCCCGGTGAGGTGGTCCCTGTCCCCCCGGGGTGGCAGGGCTGGGACACGAGGCCGAGCCCCCCGTGACGCCCTGCTCTGCCCGCAGGGAAGGACCCCACGCCCTCCATGCTGGGGCTCTGCGGCTCCCTGGCCTCCCTGCCCAGCTGCAAGTCCCTGGCCAGCCTCAAGTCCAACGAGTGCCTGGTGAGCGACAGCACGGAAGCCAGCCCGACCCGCAGCCCCAGCTGAGACCCCCGGCCCCCGCGCCGCCCCCCGGCCCAGCGTGACGGCACCGGACTGACCGAGCTCGGCCCCCCTCGCCACCCCGGGACCAACGAGGGACGCGCCGATCCCACCGGGGAGGCTGGGGACGGGCATCCCCCTCCCCATCTTGAGACCCCACCCCGGCTGCGCCTCGGCCCCCCCAGCGTGGACCCCGGCTGGAGACACGGACCTGTTGGGATGGGGGGTGCAGGACTGGGGGGAATGGACTGTCCCACGGTGGGGGGACACTGGGAGTGACAGCTGCTGGGGAGCAAGGGGGGGTCGGGGCCAGGCCCCTTCCAGGGGTGAGGGTCTGGCGTGGTCCTTGGTGCCCACCCGGGTGTGCCTGCCTGGCCTCCCCCAGCTCCCCTGCACTGTGGGAGGCTGCCTGCCCCCCTTGCAGCAGCATCCCCACAACAGGGGGAGGACTCTTCTTCCCCCTTCCTCCCCATCCTCCCCTGGGTTTTGGGTTGTTTTGGGTGATTTTGGTTTTTATTTCAGCCCTATCTGCCTTGTTGGAGCAAAAGGAATCAATAAACGCAGCAAGCAGAGCTGGCCTGTCACCCACCTCCCCAGAGGGGAACAAACCCCTTGTGCCCCCCTGCCACAAGGTCCTGGCCCAGGCAAGGATTTTGGGGCACCCAGTGAGCCTCCTGCAGCCCCTCGGGGCAGGGGCCCACAAAACAGGTGTCTCTACAGCCCCCCAGCACACAGAGAGATATCCTTCCACTAAGAGACAATTATTTTATTTAAGAAATTAGGAGAAATTCCCTCCATGAGTCCCGGGGTAATGGGGGCAGTGCCCGCAGAGCTGGGGCAGGCCCTTGCAGTGAAAGGATGGGACAGGGGTGCCACAATGGCCCCCCGGAGCAGCAGTGAGGTCTGTCCCCACACAGGGTCTGACAGGGGATGGGGACATCCCGAGTGGGAGGAGAGGTCCAGAGGCAGGGAGAGGGTCCTGATGTGTCCCCATGCCATGCAGAGCCAGCAAGGCGAGGCTGTGTGTGAGTGATGGTCAGGAGGGGCAGAGCCCCAGGCAGAGCAGGGCTGGGGGGCGCAGGCAGGCAGAGAAGCCCCCGAGGTCTGGGGTTTGGTCCTTGCCAGAGCCCCAGCTCCATCTCCTGCCAAGCCAAGTCTTCTGGGACACGCCATCCTTGCGACACCGTCCACGATTCCAGCAGCAACATCTGTCCAGCCCCAAGGGATGGGTGCAGGGGGCTCCATATCCCCGCCAGTGTCACAGTAGCAGGCACAGATGTCCCCCAGCGTGGCTGGGACAGGGAGTGGGGCCAGGCTGGCCCCGGCTCCGTGTGCAGGCAGCGGGAGGCAGAGCAGGAACGAAGGCACTTGCGCTCTGCACAGCCGAGTGCGGATCGCCGCTCCTGGGACACCTGGCTGGAGCAGGGCTGGCACTGTCCCCTGGGCACGGCCACGTCCAGCCCTGCCCCAGGCCCGTTCACAATCCCCCCCGCAGCTGCTGCTCCTGGTTCAGCTTCTGGAAGAAGCTCTTGCTAAATTCATAGGTGCTGATCATGATGGCGCAGGCAGGTGCCACCTTGATGACGCGGGGCAGGAACCCTGCAAGGACAGCGCTGTGAGCCCTGGGGTGACACCAGGGCACCCGGAACCCCAGCACAGCCAGGGCACAGCCTCACCTGCAAACAGCCCCCGGGTGCCAGACTCAGCGCGGATCCGCTGCATGAGCAGCCAGGTGGAGGAAGGCTTGGAGGCTGTGACTGTGGGGAGAGGGGAGCAGGTGAGGGTTGGGGGACACCCGTGGGGAGTGCTGGTTGCCCCCCAGGCACCTGCCTGGAGCTTGGCCCCTCACCTGGGTGCACCTCACTGTCTCCCAGCTCGATCTGCCGCTGGGTTTTGACCACGTCGAAGGGCAGCGTCAGCACTGCGGCCACCTGTGGGGTTGGCACTGGATGGTGAGCGAGGACATGGGGTTCCTGCCCAGTGCCAGCTCCGTTGTCACCTCCCAGCACCATCCCAGCCCCACTCCTCCCTCCCACAGACACCAACCCCCAACAGGAGCCCCAGCATCCCAAACTCACCGTGCCAGAGATGGCCCCGGATGCGAAGCTGACCATGAACGTGGCCCCGTCCAGCCAGGCCTGCCTGCAGAGCCACGTCCTCACCAGCTCGTAGTTAAACCAGTACAGAGCTGAGGAGAGGAGACACCAGTGCTACCACTGGGCACCCCCCACCAGCACGGGCTGTGGGGGGTGCCCAGTGCCCCCCAGGCATACCTGAGAAGGGGACGTCCCGCAGCACGGTGGGTCCCCAGCCTCTCCAGAGGGACAGCCAGCCGTCCTGGGCCACTGCTGACCGGATGCAGACACGCAGCTCGCGGTAGCTGAGCTGCTGGGACTGCATCTTGGTGCGGATCAGCTCCAGGGGGCTGATGACTGTCACAGCACCCACTGCAACACAAGAGGGACACAGGGAATGAGCTCTGTCCGCTCCAGCAGCCGTCCCAGAGCCATCAGCACAGTGCCTGGAGAGCCAGGCACTGAATGTGGATGCTGAGACCTGGCATGCTCTGCTGCCAGGACACAGGGTGGGCATGGGGGGACCCCAGAGAGGAGAGGTACTCACGCCTGGCGAGGGCCCCAGCCAGCAAGGGGATGTAGTGGTTCCAGCTCCCCATCCGGGCGTGCAGGTAGTCCCGGAGCTGGTCATAGGTGGTGAAGTAAATGACGGTGGCTGGCACAGCCATGACCCTGTGAGGAGGAGAAGGGCAGTGAGTGGCACATGTCCTCCCTGGGGCTGGCAGGGGGCTTGGGACCTAAGTCTGTGTGCCTGGGCAGGTGGCAGCAGCCAGAATCCCCGAACTCACAGGGTGGGGGGCAAGCCGCTCCACAGAGATCTGATGCCCTCGTTGCGTGTGATCTTCACAAAGGCATCCTGGGGAGAGAGCACAGCACCAGGGACAGGGGTTACAGGTGGCAGAAGGACAAACAACCCCCCAGAAAACACCCCAACACCTCTCTGGGGTGGGAGGCCCCTGGCCATGCCTGGAGCTCCTACCAGCGTGCCGGTGAAGTGGCCGGGGGCCTTGTACCAGGCGGTGCAGCTGTTGCCGTTCTGGCAGACGTACAGGTGGTCCATGAGCCCGTTGCAGTAGAGGAAACATTTCCCTGAGGCAGGAAACAACGGCACTGCCATTACACAGGAGACCCTTCCCCTCTGCCCCATGCCCTGCACATCTGATCCCAAAGCTGCCACATCTTCCAGGAAGGAGCCAAACCCTCAGGGCTTGAGCCCAGTGTGCACCAGTCCAAGGCCAGGAGAGGAACAACCCTCCAGCAAGGGTCTGATTGTGGCCAGAACCAGGGATGGGGACACCCAGCTCCATGGCAGGGATGGGGATACAGCAGGACCCACTGCCAGCAATGGGAGAGGGTTTATGCCTCACTTGGTCTTGGCTCTGCTGCCATGGCACAGTGGGGACATCAGCACTGGCCCCTCCACTGTGCTCTCAAGCCAGGCACAAAGGACACCAGGCAGGAGAAATCCAAGGGGACTTTGATGTGGCAACAGGACAGAGTGACAAGACCACAGCCAGCCAGGCCGGCTGCACAACAGATCCCCATCACAACAGATGTGGCACAGCCAGCCCCAGAGCAGGGCTGCAGGGCAGCCTGGGCTGGGGACAGTGTCAGCCCCCATTGTGCAGGGATGTCCCCACAGCCAGAGGAGCCCAAGCCACCACCAGTGGAGAAGCAAACCAGGATGAAGGCTTGGGAAAGCAAAGCCACTGGCAGCAGGAGCCCCTGGCGTACTCACATGTGGCCGGCTGAGCGCCCCAGGGCACTGACTGCGCTGCCAACACTGAAACACACAATGGGGACACACTGAGCAACCACACAGGGGACGTGCCACCACCCGGGGCTGGGCTGCTACAGCTCCCAGCCGGGCAGCAGCAGAGCTCTGTGGGTGCCTGCATGCCCCAACAGCCACTTCCCAAGCAGTTCCTATTGTCACCAAACCAGTCCCTTGTGGTCAGCCCCAGCCCAGTGATCCCACAGGAAGGGGCAGAGCCCAAGGGGAGTGGCATGGAGACTGGAACAAAGGCAGTGGGGGAACAGCCAGCAGCTGCAGCAGGCTGAGCTTCTGGTGGGCTGGGGGCTGCCAGGCACAGTGCTGACCCCCTTGGCAATGAGCTGCAGAGGGGGAAGGACAGAGCCAAGCACCAACCCAGCTTCCCCAGCAGGGCCCCCGGGCCCGTGAGGACAAGGGGCCCATGGTAACCTGTCACCTTGCAATGGCCCCATGCTCCAGAGCAGAGACATCCCTGCCACCAGCTCTGCCAGCTGAGACACCCCCGTGGGCTGCTCGCCAGGGGACTGGCTGCAGCCCCCTGCCCTGCCCCGAGCAGGGTTACCTTTGGAGAAGGGGGTCCTCTGGGCCTGCAGCCGGATCTTCACCACGTCCAGCGGCGTCACTACAAAGACATGGTCCCTTAGCCATGACACCCCCGTGCCAGCCCCCACCCTGGCACCCACCCCGCCACGCTCACCGAAGAGGGAGGTGAGGATGGCACCTGTCCCTGAGGCCAGCATCTGCTGCAGTGGCGTGATGCCCCCGCCGGGGCTCGGTGGCATCTTCTCAGCCATGGCACTGTCCCCCTGCAATGCACAGCAAGGGATGCTGGAGGCTGGGGGGTCCCTGTTCAGGGATGAGGTCCCCTGGGAGCCCCCCCAGCATCCCCACTCCAGCAGTGTCCCACAGGTGTCCCACGCCCGCTGTGCTATCGCTGCAGCACACGGCAGGCGAGGGCCCCCCATAATCAGGGTGTCCTGGGGGGTGACAGGGACTGGCTCCCAGGGCCAGCCCAGCCCTGATAACACCCCCTGGCCCCACACTGGCAGCAGGCCCAGCCTGGCTGGAGAGGTGGAGACAGTCCAGCCTTCCATGTCCTTGGGGAAGGAGGACTGTCCCCTCCCTGCACTCAGAAAATTAAGGCAAGGAAGGAACAAAGTCCAAAGAGCAGCCATGCTGTGACAGCCCCCCCAGCTCTAGCTGGGATGGCAGCAGAGCCCAGTGCAGTCATGGCAGGACACCAGGCATGGGGAGATCCCCCTCGTGAGTTTGTAACAAGAATTCCAAGAAGGGTTTAGGCATGTGAAACCTCCTGCCTGATCCCGCTGGGGCTTGGCAAGGCTGCAGCCTCCAGGGCTGGGGTGCTGCCCTCGGGAAGCAGGGGATATCACACCCTTCCCAGGAGAAGGATGTGGAGAAGCGACCCTCAGCACATTCAGCACCAGCTGCTCCCTCTCGCTGCAGCCTGGGGATCATTATCATGCTGGGACAGGGCCACAGCAGGAGAGCTTCCAGGCTTTGGGAACCCACAGGGTTCTTTAAAGCCTGGGAATGCAGCAAAAAACCTTCACCATCTGACTCATCAATTTGCAAGGTCAGAGAAGTCATAAATCTCTACGGGCTCTGGAATTGTTGGGTGACCAAGGCTGCAGGTTGGGACAGGCCTGTCCTGAAGCCACACGTGCCAGCCCCCCAGGGAGCTGGGTCCATCCTGGCACAGGCACCAGCCCCGCTGGAGAGCTGGATCTCTCCCAGCCCTGCACATGTGCCAGCCCCACAGGGAGCTGGGCCTGTCCTGAACCCACACCCTCCAGTGCCCCAGGACCTGGGTGCTCTTTGGGCACGGGCCCCCAGTGTGCCCATCACGGGAGGGCAGCGTGGCACGTGCCCCACAGACCCACAGCAAAACCGTGCCACGGGCAGGGCGCTGCCTCCGGATCCTCCCCGTGACCCAGCCCTCCTGCTCAGCCTGACGCAAGCCAGGGGAAATCTCTTGCTCCCAGCTCTGCCCCACCTGATAAACTCACTCCTAACGCGTGGCGTGCCCCAACACAGCCCCTCTGCTGGTGCTGGGGCAGCGGGGCACCTCCAGGGCTTCCTGTTTGTATCCGAGCTCCCCTCCCAGCTGGGAGCTGCTCCCTTTTCCGTGCAGAATAAAATATGCCCCTAAACGCAGAGCCCTGCTCTGCCTGGAGCGGCACTGGGGCTGGCTATGGCACGGGGATGATCGGGGAAAACAAACACGGGTTAAAGTGATCACTGCAAACAATTCCCAGGGACGGGGCCTGCGGGGAGGCTCCAGGGGCTCTTGCCGGGCTGGAAGGGCCCAGCTGGCTCCAGCCCCGAGCCAGAGGGAAATCCTGCCCGCGGATCCCCGGCACTCCCTTGGCCCTGGGCTGCTCCAGCCTCGGGGATGTGAAGCTGGGTCCCCACCTTCCACCCCGGGGGGTGCCCAGACAGCACCGGGATGCCATCCCGCTGGGGCACAGCCCGCTGTCCCCAGGAGCGGGGGACAGTGCTGCAGTGTCCCCGAGGCAGCCTGGCCCTCTGCCCTAGGGAACCCCCGGCGGGGCAGCCCCCCATCCTGGAGCCGAACCCCTGCGCGGTTTCTGCCCCCCTGCCTGGAGCCTGCAGCCCCCTGAGGGGTTTGTGCCCCCATCGGAGCTCGGAGCCCCCAGCCCAGGCCTGTGCCCCCTCCACCGGGGTATGCAGCCCCCTCCCCTGGCCCTACACCTCCCCCTCGCAGGATCTGCAGCCCCGGCAGTCTCGGGGTGCGCCCCCTCCCCGGGAGGCGACCCCGGGGGTCCCTCGGCCGCCTCACGCCCTCCGCGGCCTCACGACCCCCGACACCAGGGGAAACTGAGGCAGCGGTCACGCGTGCCGGGCCACGAGGGGGATGACGTGGCGGACGGGGTGTCGGGGGAAGTGCCGGGGGTTCCGCCCCACCTGCTCATTCCAGCCAGGCTTGGCGCGTCCCTCCGGGACCGGGAGGCGGCTCCGCGCCGGCGGCGCCTTTAAGGAGCCCCATGGGCGCCCCTCGCCCTCCGCCGCGCTTCCGCCCGCCCCGCCCCGCGCACGCGCGCTGCGCCCCGCGCGCCCCTGCGCCCCCTGCCGGCCCGGGGGGGCCGCGGCGCCCTGAAACACCTGGAAAACACCTGGAACACATGAACACCTGGGATACAGACACACCTGGAAAACACCTGGAACACATGAACACCTGGAATACAGACACACCTGGGACACAGACACACCTGAGACACAGACACACCACGAATACAGACACACCTGTGACACAGACACATTGTACACAGACACCCCGAACACAAACACCCTGTATACACCTGGCACACACCTTGCACGTACCTTGCACACTCACCGCGCTGGAGAAAGACGTGCCCTGCACACTCATGGTGCTGACAGAGGGACCCACCTTGCACACTCACCGTGCTACTAAAGCGGCTCACCTTGCACACTCACACTCCACGCTGGCAAGAGGCTGTGCCTTGCACACTCACCATGCTACCAAAAGGGCTCACCTTGCACACTCACACTCCACGCCGGCAGAAGGCTGTGCCTTGCACACTCACCGTGCTACCAAAGGGGCTCACCTTGCACACTCACACTCCACGCCGGCAGAAGGCTGTGCCTTGCACACTCACCGTGCTGAAGCTCTCACCCTCACCATCCTGAGCCCACGGGGTTGCACATTCTGGTGTGGCTCGCACGCTCGTCATGCCGGGCCAGCGGCAGGCTGGGACACGGGCACGGTGCCGTGCCAGGCCCAGTGCCACTCTGCTGCCTGCAGAGGAACAAAGCCTCTCAGTTCCCAAAGCACAGCGAGCACCCAGCGTGTCCCTGTCCTCTGCCACGCTCCCTGCAGCTCTGCTGGGCCCTCTGAGCAGGGGGTGAGTGCCCTGCTGCTTCCACATGGGCTTGTGAGAGCTGGGACTAATGCCAGCACCCGATGGGTCTGGGGGGCTGGAACCCCATCTCTGCTCAGTGCAGACCCTCAAGTGGAGTCCTTCCATGTGTTGGAAGCACTGTGTCTCTATGGAGAACCCCGAGTCCTTCTGGGTGAGGGGGTATCTCCCTGAGGGGGCTCTTATTTCTGCTCTGGTTAAATTTGGGTATTTTCTCGGGAGGAGTTTCTTCACTGAAAGGGTGATTAGACATTGGCAGGGGCTGCCCAGGGAGGTGCTGGAGTCTCCATCCCTGGAGGTGCCCAGGGAATGACTCAACAAGGCACTCAGTGCTCTGGTCTGGTTGACAAGGTGGGGATCGCTCACAGGTTGATCTTGGAGGTCTTTTCCAACCGCAGTGATTCTGGGAAGGTGGTTCAAACTGTCCGTGCACGGGTGGGAGGGAGCGGAGCCCTTCTGGAGCCTGGCAGCCCCTCGCTGTAATCTGGGCTGATGACAGCAGATGGCTCCCGAAGCCCCTCCGAAACCCGCACGGACCCCCGGGCTCTGCCCCGGCCCCGCAGCCCCCGCAGCAGCAGAACTGGGGCTGCAGGGCTGGGATGAGATGTCAGCTCCAGTGGTGCGTCCTCCAGGAAAGTCCCGCAGGCCAGAGTTCCTGGTGACTCGTTTGTGTGACAACATGACTGCAGGACCTGCTGTGGTGCTGCATGATGCAATCCCTGCCTCAGAGCCGGCTGAACTCTTGCCCTGACAAACTCCAGGATAAATCCTGCGCTGCTGCCCCCCGGTGAGTGCCATCCTGTGGGAAGGACGGAGTACTCAAGGCCAGGTGATGTGCAGGTGCCAGAGCAGCCTCTGCCTGCTGAACGGGAGCAGTTCAGGGCTCAGTCTGCAGTCCCAGGGTGTTTGGAATGGAGCCTGTTTCACCCACAGAGATGTTCCCTGTCCCTTTGCAGAGCTGGCAGAGCTCTGGTGGCTGCTCTCCTGCAGGAATAAAGTCCCTCCTGGCTCTGGAATGTCTGAGAATTGTCAGCAAAGGGGGAAGCTAGTGCTGGGAACTGCCCTTCCATGACACCAGGTCCAAGGGAATCTTGGCTTTAAGTGATGTGAGCCCAGGAGCCCGATAATTCCCACAAGGTCCCATAAGTGAACACATCCTGTGCCTCCCTGATGAGTCAGCTCTGCCTCTTAGACACACGGGCTTTAAATGATCTGAAAGCATCTTGCAGCTTGTAATTCAGAAATGGAATAATGATTAATTAAAAATATATCTGTCCTTAGGGGTATTGAGTCTTGTATCTTCTGGTTTAGGTGTTGGCTTTTTGTGGCTTTCGCACAGCTGAAAAGAGACAGGAATAATGTTTTTTCAGATGGGGTGGGGTCAAGAGGGACCAGTGAAAGATGGTTTAAGTGCCTTGACCTCGATATTTTTGGGTCTCTTCATTTGCTAAAGAGGTCAGGGTGAAAGGGTGAGTTTGTTTATCCCGAGCTCAGCACTGCTGAGGACCTGGCTGGCTCTTTGTGCTGAGTCACGGCCCGCTGGCCGCCTGCGCTGTCCAAGCCCCGGGAACCTTTCTGTCCCAGTTCACATCCTCGCAGTCCCGCTGGCCTTGGCAGGCTGGCGAGGCTGCACCGTGCTCCCATCACTGTGAGTATGAACTGTTAAGTTCCTTCAGCTGGAGAGAACCGTGTCCAAGTTGAAAGACGTGTCTGGTTTGCGGGGAAGGAGCCAGCTGAGCTGTAATCCCCCCTGAGCCGCAGCGTCCCGCGGTTTGCGTGAGCCCTGCTCGGTCTGTCCTGCCGTGACACCGCAGGCACGGCCGGGAGACGCTTGTGTAACCGCCTGCTCCCGGTTCCGAGGCGCTTACGAAACGCAGCTGGTGTCCTGGCCAGGGAGCCCTGCTCTGGGGCTGTGTGCCTGGGGCTGCTCACCGGGCAGGGGTCACACCGCGCTCTGTCAGCACCTGCGGTCGCTCTGGAAAGATTGGTCCTGTCCTGTCACTTTCAAAATCGCATTTTGAAAGCAATTAGCCTATTTCCTTTGTTTAGGTGAAGTTTAACGTCCAGGTTACAAAAGGATCTGGGTAGTGCTTTAATGGAATTAAGCCAGTGCAGAATTTGAGTATTTATTTCAGCTGGGATCATTATGGTTTTGCAAAAGCCAGGCTTAAGCTGAATTAAGTGACTCAAATGAAGCAGCTTGTGGCCAGAGGAGGCCCTAGGGACATCAGACTTGTGTAACCCAGAATATAACCCAATATAACCCAGAATTTCTAAAGCAGCTGCAGCTCTGCAGGTCAATTCCCACCGCAGGTGAGACCTGGAATTGGTGTTCTGCCTTCTGTAGCACCTGCCAGGGAAAACCCTGGTAGTTATGAAACAGGGGACAAACCTCACCTGGGAGGAAAATAAGCCTGGTCTTAGGGACGAAGAAACAGGCATGGAAGATAAAGACCCCATGGTTTCCTCCCTAAAGGATTCCTTTATAATTTTGTGTTAAAATAGTATACACCTAGCAGTACTACGGGCCAGGAGTGGGGAGGAAAGAGGAGCCTGGCCTGAGAACAGTAGGAAAAATTCCCAGATCCCTTTTCCAATAAACAAAAGCCCCTGTGAACATGAAGAAGAGCCAGAAGAGCTCAGTGCAGTAATTAAACTGCATCAGCTGTCAGCCTGCTGCACATACAGGTAAGAGATGTGCCCTTAGAGAGCTTCTCTGCAGTTCCTCTCAGCTGGGGCAGGATCTGCTGACCACCATGAGCTGCACTTTGGGACTTGAGCTGCTCCAGCAGTTCTGGAAACATCTCGGTGTTGCTGCGGGAAATGGTGCATTTCACTCTTGACTAAGCTTTGCCAACAGATCTTCTAAATGGCCTGGATGTGGCTGTGCCTGAGCACTGGCTAACGATGCCTCACTGCCCAGCCCAGGATTTCTTGGATCCAGACAGGACTTGCTGCTGAGAGCTCAGGCAGATGAAAGTGGGCGTTGAGGTAACTTCTGGAACACACGTGTTGTCATGCTGAGCACTCCAAGAAAGGAGACCCAGAGTCTCTTTTGGTTTTGCTGTCTTTAGGTGAAGAAATAATCCTGTTGGAGGGTGCTGAGCTGATCCCAGCCAGCCTGGTGTTCCTGGTACATCCCACATGGCCTGTTGGAAGAGCTGCTGTCCCAGACTGGGCTCGAGCTGCTTGCACTGGAATTCACGTTGTTTTCTGTTGTCTCACAAGGACAGATCCCCTTGTAGCACTGTAGTGTTTATTTTACAATTCCCAAAGCTGTGATAGATTTTTTAGAGGATTTTTTGTGTCTAATCTATGTAGCACTGTAGTGTTTATTTTACAATTCCCAAAGCTGTGATGGATGTTTTGTGTCTAATCTGGGAAAATTCTCCAGCTAAATTATAGTGAGTACTTTTTAGGCAGTTTAAAAATGGGCAGAAAAGAACCATTCCTCTGGTTTTAGATGGCTTGTCTATTACTATTGACCTGAAAACAAACAACGTCTGTTTCACAAACATGTGGTTTCATAAACTACATGTTCATAAATCAGGGGTTTTTTGGTACAATTCTAATCTGTAAGTCTGCAGTTATTGATACTGTAGTAAGAGAAGAGCTTTGACACTCCATAAACCTTTATTCCAAACCAAGACAGACCATTCCCAATCTGGTCTGCTTTAAAAAGCAGATTGGTGCTGCACGTGTGGGCTCCTGGAAAGGCGTGGTGAGGAAACTTCCCTTTGCCCATCTAAGTTAGACTTAAAATAAAGAGATACCCAGCAAAAAAGGCTTTAAGAAGAACCTGGTGCTGCAGGTTCCTCATCTGTTTCTCTCACAAAAAGCCCGTTCTTGGACTGGATGTTTGTCCTTGATTTGCACCTCAGTGTTTGTCAGAAAAAACTGAAAACTGGATCCTGCCCTCCTGCAGTTTCTCTATTAAATCCAATTATTAGGGATAGCAACCCTCTTAACACAAGGCAGTAATTCCATCGAGCAATCCCCACAACACTTCCAGGCCGAGCAAAAGCAGCTCACTGCTGTTCCGGATGAAGCAGGCAAGGTCGAGAGGGATCCTTTGGGACCGGGATCTGTTTTTTACAGCCTCTCCCTTTGCTTTCCAGGCTGGTGGCAGGGCGGTGAGGGAACCGCGACGCTCCCCGGCAGCTCGGGGCCATTCTCCTGTCACCTGTTGCTCCTTCTGACAGGTGTCTGCAGAGCCCAAAGCCGGCGAGAGCTGCCAGCCCTGCCCCTCCACGGCCTCTGTGGCCTGTCCCTCTCCATGTAGGTGTAGGAGGCGGCTGCTCTCCCTTTGTCAGCCTGGAGCTTACCAGGATGAAACGAAACCGGCGCGGCCGCCGTCGAGGCTGCTGAGGGGAGGCCGCTCCCACACGCTAGCCGCGCTACCGCCATCTCCATGGACGCTCAGGGCTGTGCCCAGCAGCGCCCGGAGGCAGCAGAGTGTGCCGGGCAGAAATCGGGATGGAAGCTGGCGGCAGGGTTTGGCGAGGCGGTGTCGCGGGGAGGAGAAATTCGGTGCGCACGGCGGAGCGGAGCGGAGCGGGGCGTGAGGGGGGGGCATCGCGGCAGCGCCCCCTGCCGGCTGGGGCGGCGCGCGCGCCCCCGCGTCCCGTAGACAATGGG